GTGCATCTTCATTACCCCCCCGTGCATCGCCCCCCATGAAGCGACGCCCAGCGTATGAGCCAGGGCTGACCTCCCGCCCCGAGACACACCTTTGGCGGTCGTGCGGCCCGAGAGGCCCGCCCCGGGGATGCCGGCAATGGCGGCAGACCTCAGAGCGTGAATTACCTACCCCGCTCGCGCTTCCAGGCGAAACCAAGCCACACCACGCGCCTCCTCGTCCAGCGGCCTGACCAGTGCAGGCTGCAGTTTGGCATCGTTTGGTATTTCTTGGAAGCGAGGGTGGTCAAAAGCGAGGTAGGTTTGTTTTCCCCCTAAGACCGGCCGCCACAACTAACTAGTGATTCGAGAGGCCTGCGCCTGCTCGACCAGTTGGCAGAGCAGCGCTCTCGTGCAGCGTCGTGCCGCCGTGCCCGGCCTGTGGGCATAGGGGACCTCGGGGATGCACACAGTCGGGGCGTTGACCTATAAGGAACCCTAAGTAAGGAACGGGGCCCCTTTCTCCCATAAGCTGAACTTCGATCTGCCATGGAAAACCTCAGGAAAACAGAAGGCAAAGTGCAGAACAATCAAGGAACACCGAGCCCCTCCCCAACGAAAAGGGTTCCTTCTTCAGGGCCCCGACTGTACGGCAGGTTCGCGTCGTGTCGACCAGCGGCGACCCCCGCGCGGGCGTTTAGGGTCGAACGCCGCCTGTGGCCCGGAATCGGCCCATCCCTGAGCGATCCGGCCGTTTGGCAAGGGCCGATCGTTAAAAAGCCGGAGCGACCCCCACGGTGTCGGGAACCAGCGCCGGGGTCGACACGACGCAAACCTGCTGTGTGAGTGTCTTCTGGAGTGCCTCTCCCAGACCTCTTGGAGGGCTCCTGGGGGCATCCGATCCCAGACATGCGACGTCCTGATTCTTAGGCTTACGCCACACCGCCGAACCCTTAGTTTTTCTTGGGGGCTTCCTGGGGGTCCCTGGGGCACGTTGGGGGCGTCTTGGAGCCGAAGGTTCGAAGTGTCCGTTCCGGTTTGGGAGCCTATCGGGCCATCTTAGGAGGCATCTTGGAGGGTCTTCCGCGCTGTGATGGCCGAACCATTGTATATCGAAGCCGATTGGGGGGCCTCTTGGGGCCTCTTGGGGGCTTCCGGGGAGCCTCTTGGGGCCTTTTGGGGGCGTCTGGACGCCTTTTTGGAGCCTCTTGTGGCCGCCTGGGGGCCTCTGGGGGCAGACGGCTGGAATGTTTGTTTCGTGGTCCCCCTTTCGGGCGCCTCTTGGGGCCGTCTTGGAGCCCTTTCGGGTCGTTTTGGGCGCCTCTTGTGCCGTTTTGGAGGCTTCTTGGGAGCATATGGGGCCGTCTGAGGGCGGTCTTGGAGGCATTTTGGAAGGGCTTCCGCGCTGCGAAGGCGGAAAAATCGTACGTGCTAGAGATGTACGCTTTCCAAAAGGAATTTGACGATTTTGGTTGGCATCTTGGAGGCCTCCTGGGAGGCCTCTCTTGGAAGGTCTTGGCGGCCTCTTGAGCCGTCTTCGGCCCATGTTAGGCGTCTTGGAACGATCTTTCGGCCAAAGTTAGGCGTCTTGGAACGATCTTTTGGCGTCTCGGGGCCCTCTTGGACCGTCTTGGGTGCCTCTTGGGCGGCCCCAGAAGCTGTCGTGGACCTCCAAAAGGAGCCCGGGAAGGGCCCATTGGCCGGACGGCCCCCCCCCACCAAATCGACCGGACCGGGCTCCGGGAGGAGGGGTTTGGGGAGGGGGAAGCATCTCACACGCCGATGATCCCCAAGGGGTCGGCGGATTTTTTTCAATACAGGGTCCCTGGAAGTCCCGACCCTTTCCCCGGGCCCGGTTTTTCATCCTGAGCCGTTTTTGTTGACGCTCCCGAGGCCCAGCGAGGGCCCCCCGAGGCCAAAATTGGCCACAAACCTTTCGTCTTGATTGGTTAACGTCGCGATCATGTCTGGGATTGGTTCTTGGGGCACCTCTCGGGGGCCTCCTGTGGGAGCCTCTTGGCGGCCGCCTCGGTTCTACTTGGCGACACGCCTGGCGTCCGGGCCGGCTCTGGACCGCTTCGTGGGCACCAGTGCAGTCAACCCGCATAGTTAGGATGGGCAACCTTCCCAAGGGTACCCTTGCATCCTTGCCTCCTCGGTCCATCCTTGCCCACTTTCGTTGGCCGCGCTCTGCTCGAAGAGCTTCGAAATGGGCGTCCAAGGCCCTTGCATCCTTACCGCGCATCCCTATTAGATGGGTCGACTTTAGTCGGCTCCCAGACCCCTCCCAAGGCGCGCTCCGCCAAGGATGTTTCGAGGCAGACTCAGCCGCAGCGACGAAGTTGATTAGGAGGCCCAGGAGAGGCAAACACATCCTCAAGGCATCGAACCTCGATCCTGGATCCCCAAACCAGGAAAGGTAAGAACATCCCCAAGGCAAGCCTCGATCCTGGATCCCCCCAAATCCCCCTCGTCGGCTTACAGGCCTGATTAGGGGCAGCGCTAGGGGGAGATAGGCTCAGGGGGGGCCGCATCGACACCCCATCGCCCATTCACGCCGGACAGGGGCCAGATAGCCCCACCCCGCCCAGTAGCGTGCGGTTTCGACATCGGCGGCCTTTCGCCAATCTATAGGCGATGCATCGCCGATTCCAGCTCGATGCCCCCCCCCCCCTGCCCTGAGCCGGTGGCCTCCCATCGTTGCTCCTCTTGAGGTCTGGTGGCCTGAGGGCTGTTTGCTCTGGCGCTTCGGACTGGACCGCCAGGGGGGGCATCCCAGGCTCGCCTTGAGTCGGGCCTGTCCCTCCACAGGAGTAATATTCAAAAATTAGTATATAAATTAGCCTGACGAAAGACCCAACCATATGCAGTTGTGAGTACCGGGCCACGAAGCGTTGTATTGGGTGGGCGAAACGCAGGGAGCAAGGGCAGTGTTGGGTGGTGGCGGACGCATGCCGGCGGTGCCACTGGGACCTTCGGTAGAGCCCCCTTTGGGGCCACGAAACGTTGTACTGGGTGGGCGAAGCGCAGGGAGCAAGGGCTGTGGTGGGTGGTGGCGGACGCATGCGGGCGGTGCCACTGGGACCTTCGGTGGAGCTCTCTATGGGGCCACGAAGCGCTGTACTGGGTGGGTGAAACGCAGGGAGCAAGGGCTGTGTTGGGTGGTGGCGGACGCATGCGGGCGGTGCCACTGGGACCTTCGGTGGAGCTCCCTATGGCCCGAAGCGCTGTACTGGGTGGGTGAAACGCAGGAGCAGGGCTGTGTTGGGGTGGTGGCGGAACGCAATTGCCGGGCGGTGGCCCACTTGGGACCTTCGGTGGAGCTCCCTATTGGGGCCACGGAAGCGCTGTAACTGGGTGGGTGGAAACGCAGGGAGCAAAGGGCTGTAGCTGGGTGGTGGCGGAACGCATGCGGGCGTGCCACTGGGCCCTCGGTGGACGGCTCCCTATGGGGCCGACGAAGCGGTGTTACTGGGTGGGTGCAACGAATGGAGCCAAGGGCTGTGCTGGGTGGTGGCGGACGCATGCGGGCGGTGCCACTGGGACCTTCGGTGGAGCCCCTTATGGGGCCACGAAGCGCTGTATTGGGTGGGTGAAACGCACGAAACAAGGGCTGTGCTGGGTGGTGGCGGGCGCATGCGGGCGGTGGGGCTCAGGGGGCGCATGTGGATGGTGGCGGGCGCATGCGGGTGGTGGCGGGCGCACTGGGGGCTTCGGTGGAGCTCCCTATGGGGCCTCGTTGCATTGTGCTGGGTGGGTGAAACGCATGGAAGAAGGAGGGTGGAGGGGAGGAGGGGGAGGAGGAGGAGAGGAGAAGAGGAAAGGAGCGCGGGGACCGTCTCCTCAAAACGAGGACCCAACACCACAGGATGGTTGGGAAAACGCAGTTTGGGGACGATTTTTTCCTATGTGTTTGGCTGTTTGGCGTCGAGCCGCACGGGCGTCGGCGCGCCCCTCTCCCGCGGCGGGGCAGCCGCCCAGCGGCGGCGGTTGTGGGGGTTTCAGCAGGGGTCTCCGGTGAGGGGGTTCTGTGGCTTGCCTCCCTGGCTGGGCGCTGTGCGCGGAGGGGTCCCCCTCCCCCCCCTCTGCGGGGGGGCTGCTCCGGCCTTGGCCTCGCGGATGAGGTCCGAGCAGATGGCGTCGGAAGATCTCACCGCATCGCAGACACATCGTCGCTGCGGCTCGAAGTAGAGCCATATAGGTTCTACGCGTCGGCGTCGCCGATGCATCGGGCCGTGCGGCGCGACCCTTCGACCCCATCTACTCGGACCCCACCCAAGGAGGTCTCTAGTGTTATGGCTCCCCTCCCAGGCTGGTGCTTTGCACGGTGAAGCCCCCTTCCCCTCAGCGTGGAGGCTGCTCCAGGTGAGAGGCCCAGATCCTTTCGCTCGGTGCCAAAAAATCTCGACGCGGGGACTTTTCGCACCCGGGGGCCCTCGCCGTGGCCAGGGACCGTCTAAATCGTCTCGGGATGCAAAGCCAGTCTTGGGAAGCGGTCCAAATCTGCGGGGGCCATCGCTGTGAAGGCATGGCGTCGGAGGCCCAGGGAGGGTGAGGCACACCGTGAGCGGAGTGCAGCTCCAGGCTTTGTCGGCGCGGGCCGGCCCGGGCAGGGAGTGCCAGTGGGACTCGCCCTGTGTCGTGTGCGCGTGTTGGTCGAAGGGGGGGATTCATCATCCATCTGATCAGGCCCAACATCATCAAAAACGGGTCTCGGGTAAGAAATTACCCCCAGGGACGCGACCAGGAGTGTTGGGGCCGCGGAAGAACAGAAAACACATCGTCGGATGCTTGTGGAGGTTCTAGAGGGTTCTACGGGGTGGGGATCCTAGGCCCCCAGGGTACATCGTCGACGTCGCCGCCTCCGCCGCCGCCGCCGCCGCCGTAGTCTTCGGTGTTGTCGCCATCGTCGTCGTCCCGAGCAGGGGCCTGTCCACCGACGCCTACGAGCGCCGAGGGCCTACTGGCGCCGACTAGCGCCTCCACAAAGTTTGAGAGTCAAGCTGGAGGAGGGACGCCTGGCGATGCAGCCCTTCGAGGTATGTAGCACCCCGCGGCTGCGGAGACGAGCGAGTGGGCGGGCGCGGAGTGGGTCGTGGGGGTGGGTCGCGGGGTGGGTCGCGGGTGTGTCGACGGAGCGTCGCAGGTGGGGCGACGACAACAGACAACAACAACGACGACGACAACAACAACAACAACAATTACTAGCACGTGGGGACACTCCGTTCTCACCAGTGCCAGGGTTTTCATAGGAGGCGGGCAATACCCCCACTTTGTGGGGGGGCCGGTTCAAGCTCTACCAAATTTCCAAACACTCTTCGCCACCACCCATACCCAGCTTCCCGCCCTATGACGTTCGGACACTTCACTTCGTGGCATGCGGACGACCGTGGCTACTATTCAGGGCCCCGCGGCCGACGACGACGGCGTGCGCGCGCGAAGAAAAAACGAATGTGTCCCGCATGGTATTATTTGACAGGGATGATGGCCCTGGCAGGTTCGCAACCGTTGTTGCAGAAGTTCGAAAAAGTTGCTCGCAAAAGCCCGTTTGACAGAAATGTTTAAAAAGTGTTGGGTTTCCTACGAATCCGCAAGAGCGCGCGGGATGAAATTTTGACATTTTTTTTTGAAAAACCATTGGTTTTTTTTTATGTTTTTATATTAAATTCGCTACGAAAAAAAGGTTTTGGAAGGATTTCGTCTTGCGCGCGCGAGTGTCCACTTTACCTCATTTTTTGCAAGGGATTCGTGAAGTTTGGATATGTTGGAACAAGAAATGTCATTTTCTATTGTTTTTTGCAAGGGAAAGCGGATTACAACAAAACAACCGGATCCTGTACACACCCTCTTTTCTGAGGCTTCCTCACGAAAATGATGAAAATGTAGCTGCGGCCTAGGCGGCGCAGGGGGGGCGCGCACCAGGTGGCCCAACAATAATTATTCTTTAGAATAAATAATGTTCAACAACAACAACAACAATCATTTAAGACTGGGGACACTCCGTTCTCACCAGTGCCAGGGTTTTCATAGGAGGCGGGCAATACCCCCACTTTGTGGGGGGCCGGTTCAAGCTCTACCACATTTCCAAACGACTCTTCGCCACCACCCACACCCAGCTTCCCGCCCTATGACGTTCGGACACTTCACTTCGTGGCCTGCGGACGACCGTGGCTACTACACTGGCGCATGGGTACCGTGAAAGAGCTTGCGAAAGTAGCTCGCGCGAGCTCATGTAACATACATGTTGAAAAACCAGTGGTTTTTTAGGATTCGGACAGCGCGCGCGGGTAGAAATTTTGAAAATTCGTACAGATGTTTTTCGAGGACCTACGGTGCGATTCGTATGATTTTATGTTGCGCGGTGCTAAAATTCCTACGAAACCCAATGGTTTTTGAAGATTTCGGCGTGCGCGCGCAAAGAAAAAACGAATGTGTCCCGCATGGTATTATTTGACAGGGATGATGGCCCTGGCAGGTGCGCAACGGTTGTTGGAGAAGTTCGAAGCACGTGAAAAAGTTGCTCGCAAAAGCCCGTTTGACAGAAATGTTTAAAAAGTGTTGGGTTTCCGACAAATCAGCAAGAGCGCGCGGGATGAAATTTTGACATTTTTTGTTTGAAAAACCATTGGTTTTTTGATGTTTTTATGTTGAAATCGCTACGAACATTAAGGTTTTGGAAGGATTTCGCCTTGCGCGCGCGAATGTCCACTTTACCTCATTTTTTGCAAGGGATTCTTGAAGTTTGGTTATGTTAGAACAAGAAATGTCCACTTTAGCTTATTTTTTTGCAAGGGAAAACGGGGGACAACAAAACAACCGGATCCGGACACCCACGTTTTGCTTGAGACTTCCTGACGAAAATACTGAAAATGTGGCTGCGGCCTAGGCGCGGCGAGGGGGCCGCGCACCAGGGGTCCCAACAATAATTATTCTTTAGAATAAATAATGTTCAACAACAACAGCAACAACAACAACAGCAGCAACAACAACACCAACACCAACACCAACACCAACACCAACACCAACAACAGCAATTATTCACTGCGTGGAGCTCACCATATGTGCAGATATTCGTATGGACCTGTCCGCCGTGAATGTCTAGGCGCAAGAGCTTTCGAATATAAGCGGGCTTCAGTTGTGACGGTCTGGTCAGGAATCTAACTGAGAATGACTTGGAGTATGAATGAGCCTCAGTGGTGCGAGCGCGTCTCTGCGCATGAGCCTGGGTCCTCCTGGGGCCTCCTGGGGCCTTCTGAAACCTACTGGGGCTTCCTGGGGCCTCCAGGAGCCTCTTGGGGCCTCCCGGGACCTCCTGGGACCTCCTAGGGAGGATTCGTGCCCCAGGAGAGGCCCAATCTATAGCAACAGACGTACATAAAACATTGCGGATTGGAGCCGCAGGAGAAGGGACAATCTATAGGAACACACGTAAAACACCAAGGACTCGTGCCCCAGGAGAGGCCCTATAGGAACAAAGTACACAGGAGAAGGACGATCTATAGAAACATACGTATAACATCAAGGATTCGTGCCCCAGGTGAGGCCCAATCTATAGGAGCCTAGTAAAACACATGGGATTGGAGCCACTCCTGTTGCCTTCTGAGGCCTCCTGCTCCTAGGGCCTCTTCCGAGGCCTCCTGGCGCTTCCTCTGGCCTCCTGGGGCCTCCTGTGGCTTCCTGAAGCCTCCCGGAGCTTCCTGGGGCCTCCTAGAGCCTCTTGGGACATCCTGTGGCTTCTTGAGTCTTTCTGTGGCCTCCTGGTGCCTCCTGGGACCTCATGTGGTCTCCTGGGGCTTCTTGGAGCCTGTTGGAGCCCCCTGTGGCATCCTGAGGAGAATCCGTGCCCACGAGTCTGGCCACCGATCGAGGTCAGGTCAGGTGAACCGTGCCTAGACGGCACATTGGTTGCAGATCACATGCATGAGTATGTACAACAGCACGCCGGCGTCGACAATGCGAGGAGCAAGGCATAATCAGCATCGCCGGCTCCGGCTCCATGCGCAGGGATTCTCTAAAACTCTACGCTTCTATGCCCGACCCCTCCTCCTCCTCCTCCTGCACCTCCTCCTCCCCCTCCCCCTCCTCCCCCTCCTCCTCCCCCTCCCTCCCTCCTCGAACTGGCCCGAGAGCTCCACCGACCGGCCGCTTGATCGATCCCTGAACCACCCCGCCCCGCGGCGCAGGCCTGGCGGCCCGCGGCCGCGGGCTGCGCCGCCGGTGGAGCCGGCGTGGGGCCCCTCGTGGCCAGCTGGCGGGCCTCCCCGGGCGGAGGCCAGGCCGTCGCCGGCGTTGGGCCGCCGCCGTGCTCGCCAGGGCGGTCGTCGTCGCGGTGGTGGTCTCGAGGAGGCCCAGCGTCTCGGAGAGAGCAAAGCGAGCGAGGTGTTGCCTCCGTTTCGGCGTCGGGGGCCCGGGGCCGTCGGCAGAACTACGCGGGATGAGAACGAGACGTCGGGGGGGTCCGTGATGTGAGTTTCAAGACATCGGAGCGCCAGGGCGATGTTCGTCGTGATCGTCGTCGTCGCCGTCGTCGCGGTCGTTGTGATCGTCGTCGTCGTCGTGGACGCCGTCGTCCTCGTGGTTGTTGTCGTCGTGTTGGTTGTGGTCGTCGTCGTCGTCGTCCCGTGCGGAGGCTGGCCTTTCCCGGCGTGGCCGCCGCAAGATTTTCGACGGCGCGGTCGTCGCGGTCGTCGTCGTTTTCGTTGTCGTGGCCAAAGTCGTCGTCGTCGTCGTCGTCGTGGTCGTCGTCGTCGTCGTCGCGGTGTCGTCGTCGCGGTGTCGTCGTCGTCGTCGTCGTCGTCGTCGTCGTCGTCGTCGTCGTCGTCGTGGTCGTGGTCGACGTCGTCGTCATGGTCGTCGTCTTGGTCGTCGTCGTGGTCGTGGTCGAAGTCGTCGTCTTGGTCGTCATCGTCGTGGTCGTGGTCGACGTCGTCGTCATGGTCGTCGTCTTGGTCGTCGTCGTCGTGGTCGTGGTCGAAATCGTCGTCTTGGTCGTCGTCGTCGTGGTCGTCGTCATCGTGGTTGTTGTCGTCGCTGTCGTCGTTGTCACCGTCGTCGTCGTGGTCGCCGTCGCCGTCGTCCCAGGCGGAAGTCAGCCCTTGCCGGCGTGGCCGCCGCGCGGTCCTCGCCAGCGCGGTCGTCGTCGTGCCCTGAGCCCTGAGCCAACTGTCGATGTTCGAGGCTTTCGGACGTTTTCGTTGGCTCTCGGCGTTTTTTCAGCCTCGGGATGCCTTCCAGCAGCTGCGCCTTGCCGAGGGCATTCTGGCGGTGCTCTGATCTTCCCGAACGGCCGCCGGAGAGCCGGGTTACGATCCAAGGCATGGAATTTGGACTTTGCGCCATCGCCCTCCAGTTCAGCACGCAGCGGCCCGCGAACTCAAACGTAGAATTGCTCGTGTGTCTTTGCTCATGCGCTGCCGCGGGCCGGTCGCCCTTGGCCCTGGCCCACCTGCGTCTTCCCTTGCCGCCCCGCTCGGGCCACGGGCCAGGCGAGGGACAACATCAGACAAGGATACGAAGGCTCTCGTCGCAATCGACTGGGTTCGCCTCGACATCCTGGTCAGAACGCACCCTTGGAGAGGTCCGGGGAGTAGCTGCATCGGTCCCTTTCCCAGACATGCGACGTCCTGATTTCTTCCATACGGGGTCCCTGGAAGTCCCGATCCCTTCCCCAGGACCAGTTTTTCGTCCCGCGTCGTTTTTTGCAGGCCCGGCGAGGGCCCCTCGAGGTCGAGAAAATGGCCAAAGACCTCCCGTCGCGAATGTTTTACGACGCCATCATGCCTGGGCTTGGTTCCCCAAAGCATCAGGCGCCCGCAGTCTTTTCGGAGAGCGTTCCGGGACGATCTGAGGGAGTGTTCCAGGAGCGCTCGGGCCTGCCCTGGCCTTGCCTGGCTCGAGGAGGAGGAGGAGGAAAACTCGGCGGCACCGAAACACCCGGCTTGCCTCCAGGGTGCCCTGGGTTTCTTGGGTTTCGATGGTTTTGCTGTGGGAAAAGCTCGACATTCCGACACCCAAAAGTCAATGGACGTCCTGGGGTCTCAGGGTTGGGTTTCTCGTGAAAGGTGCTTGTGGACGGGCCTCCACTGTACTCACTAACGGGTACTTCTTCGAACTTTGCCGAAAGTTGCCGCTGTGGGGCCTCTTGCTGGCATTGCAGCGTTGCCCACGTCGGGAAGGACGGATTTCGCTGGGCCGCTGGTCAAAGTACCCTCTCGCGAAGTCCCCGTTAGAGGGCCGCTGAAGAACCCAGACCCGCGACGCCATGCTTTTTACCTAACAGCGAAGACTGATAGATTTCTAGTGGTGTCAAAAGAGCTCACAGATCACTCCACAGGGGGGTCCGGGCAGGTGTTGGGAGTTGCCGGGCGGCAGGGGGCCCCGCTCGTTTTTCACCAACAGTCACACACTTCGTGCTCTTCGACTTCCCAGAACTCCATTCCCAGGCCACATTCTGGAGGGCCGGATGCAACAGTCACACACTTCGTGCTCTTCGAGATCCCAGAACGCCATTCCCGGGCCACCTTTAGAATAACCGGATGCAACAGTCACACACTTCGTGCTCTTCGAGTTCCCAGAACTCCATTCCCGGGCCACATTTTGGATGCCCGGAGCCAACTGTAGGCCACTTCGTGCTCTTCGAGTTCCCAGAACTCCATTCCCGGGCCACATTTTGAATGCCCGGAGCCAACTGTAGGCCACTTCGTGCTCTTCGAGTTCCCAGAACTCCATTCCCGGGCCACATTTTGAATGCCCGGAGCCAACTGTAGGCCACTTCGTGCTCTTCGAGTGCCCAGAACTCCATTCCTGGGCCACATTTTGAATGCCCGGAGCCAACTGTAGGCCACTTCGTGCTCTTCGAGTTCCCAGAACTCCATTCCCGGGCCGCATTTTGATGCTGATGCAGAGGCTGAGAATGGTGATGCTGATGCTGAGGCTGAGGCTGAGGCAGGCAGGCTGAGGCTGATGAGGCTGAGGCAGGCTGAGGCTGAGGCCGAGGCTGAAGGCAGGCTGAGGCAGACGCTGAGGCAGGCTGAGGCTGAGGCAGGCTGAGGCTGAGGCTGAGGCTGAGGCAGGCTGATGCTGAGGCAGGCTGAGGCTGAGGCTGAGGCTGAAGGCAGACTGAGGCTGAGGCAGGCTGAGGCAGACGCTGAGGCAGGCTGATGCTGAGGCAGGCTGAGGCTGAGGCTGAGGCTGAGGCTGAGGCGGATGCAGGCTGATGCTGAGGCAGGCTGAGGCACAGAGGCTGAGGCTGAAGGCAGACTGAGGCTGAGGCTGAAGCAGGCTGAGGCTGAGGCTGAGGCAGGCTGAGGCTGAGGCTGAGGCAGGCTGATACTGAGGCAAGCTGAGGCTGTGACTGCGACTGCCGCTGCCACTGCGACTGTCATCGCGAATGCGACTGCGACTGCGAGAACAGCAGAACTCTACAACTGGATTCTCATCTGAGTCTTAAGGGGAATGCTTCCATATATGCTTCTACACATCGCTGTTAGGTTGCTTTGCCGGGATAATTTTTGTGACGTCGACCCCCACCAAAGGTCTCGACCCCTTCCCCGGGACCGGCTCTTCCTCCCGAGCCGTGTCTCAAGGGCCTCGGAGCCCGGCAAGGGCCCCGCGAGGCTGGAAGCAACGAAAGGCCTTCCGTCGTGATTGCTTCGTGACCCGAGGGGTCTGGGTGCGTTGAGCAGGATCGACCCAAGAAGCAAACGACGCCACCCCACCTGCGGCCCTCCATGTTGAGCTACGGCACATCGGGGGCCGCAGCGCACACCACGCAGAGATCCAGGCCAGATTTCCTGGTACGGCCGAGCCGAGTTTCAAGATCGAGGTCGGTTCGGGGAGGGTGCCCAGGTGTTCTTCGCAAGTGTTGGGCGCTCCTGTGCACCCTGGGGAGGCTACCCTTGGATGCTCCGTCTTTCTTGTTGGCCAGCGGGGGTTCTTGAAGAATGTTGTTCTAGCCCTGGTCCGGCTGCATGCGCCAAAGGCCCCCGAGGCCGAAGGGGGAGGGGAAAGGTCTGCTGCCCGGCCCGCAGGAGAGGAGGCCGTGGCGTCGCTCGGACGCGTGCGCTTCCTCTCGGCGAGGACCCTCGGCGGCGCCTCTGGGGCCATCTTGCAAAAACAGAAAGAAGAATCACGCTCGAAGCCCTGAGTCGGGCCTGTCCCCCTGCCGGGGGACTTTCGACGAAAAAGAAAGAATACCGCCAGAATAGCCAAAAAGTAGTCCAAAAATGATCTGGGGAATGTGTTGGGGGTACTTGTTTGACCTTTTTGGGGTTATTTTTGGTGATTTTTTTTATTTTTCGTCGAAAATCCCCCTGTGGGGGGACACGCCCGACAGAAGCGAAGCCGCAGAGTGCACGGGCAACGGGCGCCCGAGCGACGGCGAGAGGAGGCGGACGGCGATGCGCCCCCGGCGGCGGGGCCCCGCCAGGCGCCGGGCCGCGCCGGGGGCGCCCCGCGGGGGACCTCTCCGTGGCGGGCATCCGGGAGCTGATGCGGCGGCGGGCGGACGAGAAGAGGCGGGGGGGGGCCCGCGCAGAAAGGGGGGGCGGGGGGGCGGGGGGAGGGCTTCCTGGAAGGAGGCTGCCTCTCAGAGGGCGGGGGCCTTTTGTCTGTCCGTGTGGGGCCCTGGCGCCTTCTGAGAGGCAGGCTCCTTCTGAGGAGCAGGCTCTTGCTGAGCGGCGGGCGGACGAGAAGAGGTGGGGGGGGGCCCGGAAGCTAAGCAGGGAAGCGCAAGGCCCGAGTGAGCCGGAACTCGGGTTTGCCGACGTTGTTCTGACGAGCGCGTCCTGGGTTTTGACGACGGTCCAGTTTTCGTGGGATGGTTGCAGTTGGAGGTCGCGTCAAATTTCAGATTGGGTCTCGTCATTTTCATGATGGCCCCGTGAGGCCAACCCGAGTCCCCCTTACCCGAGTCTTACGTCTCCCCGATAAGCAGGCACGCGCAGGAGGGGGGCGCGGGGGGGCGCGGAAGGCTCCTCGGTTGAGGGTCGGCACGTGTGATGAGGGCGCACGGCGAGGGCGCAAGGGCCTTGGAGGGCCGTCTCGGAGCTTTCCGGGCGGGGCGCGGCCAACGCAGGTGGCCAAGGACGGGCCGAGGAGGCAGGAATGCAAGGGTGCCCTCGGGAAGGTGGCCCACCCTTACGATGTGCGGGTTGGCTGTGGCTGCCCTGCTGCGCCCGTGGAGGGAAGCGCAGCACGTGCCGTGCTCAAGGCGCCCGTGCTGGCACCCTGCGTATTGCCTCTCGGCACGTGCTGGTCCACGTTTCGGCGAGCGTGCCGCGCCAAACATGCGTTGTCAGTCTACGTGCTGAGCTCCGTGTCGACACGCTACGTGTTGCGTGCTGCGTATCGGGGCCGCTGAGCTTTTTAGAAGCACCCCTGCTTCTTAGAGGGCGCGGGCCTCATCTCCAGTTGTGAGACCGGCGCCTTCAAAGAAGCAGCCTCCTTCTGAGAAGCCTTTCCCCTCCCCCTACCCCCTCGTGCGCGCCGCCAAAGGGGCTCTGCAAGCCAGCACTGCCAAGTCTCGTGCCACGCCAGCGGCAACGACATCCCCCGAGATCCGGGCGTGGCAACTTCTCCACAGCGGGCGCTCTCGTCCAGCGTTAGGCCCTCGGACCCTCACGGATCGATCCGGCTCGAGAGATGCCGCAGAAGCATGGGGGCTCCGGTCTTGGATTCTCACTCTATTTCAACACTTGTTCGCAACGTCGGATCTCAGGGTACATGGATGAAGAACACATTGCAGAACCATAAGCTGTCGAGTGTCCGCGCGGAGCTCCGAAAGTTTATGTCTGCACCATGTGTTCTTCGTCCTCCTCTTCTCATTATTTCTCCCAGTCTCCTGAGTTGGGTTCCTGCTTTCCTACCACACCCTGTCCTTCTTCCGCCACCTCCTCCTTCTCCTCTTCCCCCCCGCTAGCACGACGACCATTACTACCGCGATGGCCATCACCCCTTCTACCACTACTACCACCACTACCCACCACCGCTATCACCACTACTACCAGTGCTAATGCCAGTACAACTACCTCAAGTATTACTAGTACTGCTACTACTACCACTGCGACTACTACGGCTACGACTACGACGACTACTACTACTACTACTACTACTACTACTGCTACTACTACTACTACGTCTACTACTGCTACTACTACGACTACTACTACTACTACTACTACGACGACGACGACTACTACTACTTCTACGACTACCAGCACTACAGCTTTTATTATTACTACGGCTACCACTCGTACTACTAGTACTACTACCACTACTACTACTACTACTACTACTACTACTACTACTACTACTACTACTACTACTACTACTACTACTACTACTACTACTACTACTACTACTACTACTACTACGACTACTACTACTACTACTACTACTACTACTACCACGACTACTAATAGTACAACTACGACTATTACTACTGCTACTACTACTACTACTACTACAACTACTACTACTACGACTGCTAGGACGACTAATCCTATCAGTATGACTACTACTATTACTACTACTACTACTACTACTACTACTACTACTACTACAGCTGCTATTACTACTACTACTACCACTACTACTATTACCACTTCTACTACTACTACTACTACCACCACTACTTTTTCTACTACGCTACTACTCTTACTACTACCACTACTACCAGCACTACTACTGCTGCTACTGCTGCTACCATTACTATTATTAGAACTATCAGTACTACGACGACGACTACTACTACTACTACTACTTCTACGACGACTACTACGACTACTACTATTACTACTACTACTACTACTACTACCATTCCTATTATTATCACTGCTACTACTACTACTACTACTACTACTACTAGTACTGTGACTACCAAGTTTCCACGTCTGCTGCGACTACTTCTGCTAGCACTACTACTACTACTACTACTACTACTACTTCTACTACTACTGCTACTACTACTACTACTACTACTATGACTACTACGACTACTTCTACTACTACTACGACTACTACTAC